GAGAAGCCCCAGGGTGAGGAGGATCAGGGTGTCTGTGCTCCCAGCTCCAGAAGCCAGGTGGGGGGGTCCAGCAGGTGGGAACCTTGGGGAGGGGGGGTGCTTGTGCTTCTGAGTGGCTGAAGCTCGCCGCCTCGGTGTCCTCACCTGGAGGATGAGCGTGACAGAACCCGTCCTGCGCTGTGACCGGATGGTTGAGGCGCCCCAGTATCCAGATGCCTGGAGGTCTCTGTCAGGGGGTGTTTTTTTGTTTTTGTTTTTATATTTTTATTGATTTCAGAGAGGAAGGGAGAGGGAGAGAGAAATAGAAACATCAATTGATCTGATTGTGCCTCCTGCACACCCCACACTGGGGATGGAGCCCGCAACCCGGGCATGGGCCCCGGCCAGGAATCGAACCGTGAGCTCCTGGTTCGGAGGTCAATGCTCAACCGCTGAGCCACGCCGGCCGGGCTGTCAAGTGTTTTTGGTGACGTTGCTGAGCTTTCCTAACAAGAGGGACGTCATCAGGCCAGGCCACTGGTGATGAATCAGACGTGGCTTCCGGGCGATCCGGTGACCCGGCGCCTCGCGTGCCTGTTTCAGAAGGGGCAGCGAGCCTCACGGACGGACAGTCCGGGCCCGAGGACGGTTACGACGAGGCTGCGTTTCCTCTGGAGGAGATGACGCTGTGAGGACCTGGAGGTAGATTTGCCGCTGACAGAGTGGAAAGCACCGTTCGTGGTTCCCCTTTACGATGGTGTTGAATCCAGAACACACAGGAGCATTCTGGGGACTGTCCTCAAGCCTCTAGGTGAAACCCCCATTTCCTCCCACCCTGTCCCCTCGCCCCCATTCCTTCTGGGAGACATACACCTGCGGGCTTTCTGTGCATCCACAACACAAACACAAACGCCTGTAGAAATCCATAGTTATGTTTGCCATTTCTTTAACGACATCTGTGGTGAGCCCTGGTTGGTGTGCTCAGTGGTTAGAGCATCGACCCTCGCACCTGGGTTGCAGGCTCGATCCCTGGGCCTGGTGGAGGCGTATGCGGGAGGCAACCAATCAATGTGTCTCACACCCATATTTCTCTCTCTCTCTCTCTCCCAGCCCCCCATTTCACTCTCTCTCTTAAAAAAAAAAAAATCAATGGAAAAATATCCTCAGGTAAGGATTAACAAAAAAACCCCAAAAACCATATTTGGCAACATCTTCAGGTACCACTCACTGGAGGGCTCTGTGTCACTGGGCAGGCATCTGCTTTCCTTTTTTTTTTTTTAATCCCCATCTGAGGATATGTTTATTGATTTTCGAGAGAGGAAGGGAGAGAGAGAGAAACATTGAAACATTGATCCGTCACCTTTGGTACTTGCTCAATCAGGTATTGAACCTGCAACTTAGGCATGTGCCCTAATCGGGAATCGAACCCGCAACCTTTGTGGTGTATGGGACAACACTCCAACCCACTGAGCCACCTGGCTGGGGCTGCTGCTGCTTTTTTCTTGTAAACTCTCCTTAATTGGGTCCAAAGTGTCCTGTAGCTTTTCTACATGTGTAATCATGTCATCTGTGAATAATGTCGGACCCTTTCCTTTCCTTTATACCTTTAACCTCTTTTTTTGTGCCTTATTTCAAGGGCCAGGCCCCTCGGTCCCATATTGAATGTGGCAGCACAGTGACCACGCGCCTCCCGATTTCCTTTCACCATTAAATACAGTATTGGATGTGTTTTTTGGGTAAATGCCATTTATCAGAGGAAGGGAAATCAGTCTATTGCCAATTTTCTAAGCGTTTTGGTTTTTATCATGAAGTGCTGACTTTAATGCTTATGCATCTGTTAAGATTATACATGATTTCCTCCCCTTTGTGGTCAATGTGGTGAGCTGCATTGATTGATTTTCAAATGTTAATCCAACCTTGGGTTAAGCAAACTAACCTCTGTCATGCCATATTTCTTATTCATTATATCTATTACAGGAATCAGTTTGGCAATATGTTGGGTCAATATTTAGAAGAGGGCTTGATGTGTAATTTTCCTTTTCTGTAAATGCTTCTGTCTCATTTCTTTTGGCATGAGGATTATTTAGGTCTCATAAAAATTAGGAGATTTCCCGCTTTTAAGAAATAATTGTGAAATTTTGTGTAGCCCTGGTTTTATGTCTTCCTTAAATGCTTGGAAGAATTTGACAGTGAAGCCATCTGGGCCTAGAATTTCGTATTTTGGGGAATTTCCTTTTCAGATTTAATTTTTAAAACTGTAGACAGCCCTAACCGGTTTGGCTCGGTGGGTAGAGCGTCGGCCTGCGGACTGAAAGGTCCCAAGTTCGATTCCGGCCAAGGGCATGTACCTTGGTTGCGGGCACATCCCCAGTAGGAGGTGTGCAGGAGGCAGCTGATCGATGTTCCTCTCTCATTGATGTTTCTAACTCTCTATCCCTCTCCCTTCTGCTCTGTGAAAAATCAATAAAATATATTTTTAAAAAAACTGTAGATAATTGAATTATTTGTGCTTTCTATTTCTTCTTAGTGAATTTCTTTTTATCAATGAACTGACAATATTATCTACATTTTAAATTTATTGACATAAAGTTATTGATAATATCTTTGTACTATCTTTTAAATGTCTATAATATCTATACTTATGTGCCTTTTTTCAATGGTGATAGTGGTACTTTGTGACTGCTCTGTTATTCTTGATCAGTGTTGCTAGGGGTTAACCATTTCACTAGCATCTTCAAGGCCATAGGAAACATGTGCCTTTGACTTCCTTCATTTCTTTAAATTGAACATCTGATTTCAGTTTCACTTGTTTCTGCTCTGATCTGTATAATCTTTTCTTTCTACTTATTGTAGCTGTTTGGTAGTGATATTTTGACCACTTATTTTCCACATTTCTTCTTTTTAATGTGTACATGTAAATTTATAAACTTTCCTTGTAATGTCGCTTCAGTTACATACCAAGAGTTATAGGCTGTATTTCTGTTTTAACAGCTTTGAGGTTACATTAGCATACAATAAAGTTCATATATTTACAGTATGTAAATGGCGATAAGTCTTGACACACGTGTACATTCAGGAAGCCATCACAGCAATCTTGGGAGTGGACTGATCCCCAAAGATTTTTCCTGTCCTTTTGTATGTCTCTCTCCACCCCCACAGCTAATCATTGTTCAACTTTTTGTCACTGTAGAGTAGTTTGTACTTTGGGGAATTTATGTAAGTGGAATTAATACAGAAGGTACTCTTCTGGTGTTGGGGGACCAGCTGGCTTTTGTTCACTTGGCATAATTATTGTGTTTAGAAAGTATCCTTAGAAAATTTTGTTAATAAAGTTTGCAGCTAAATGTTTAAGAGATATTGGTGTTAAGTGTTCTCTTATGTCTTTCTCTGGTTTTAAAACAAGGTTGACACTGACCTCACAGAATGAGTTGGGCAGCATTCTTTCTTGTTTAATTTTATGAAAAAGTTTGTGTCGAATTGGTTTTATCTATTTCTTAAATTTTTGGTAGATTTTACCAGTGAAGCCATCTAGGCCTGGAGTTTTGTTTGCAGGAATGTTTTTAACTACAATTTCAATTTTTAGTGGATATAAATTTATTGATGTAGGAGGGAGGCGGATTGGGAGGTGGTGGAAGAGGCCATAGAGGGGATAAATGGTGATAAAAAAAAAAAGACTATTCATGTAATTTATTCCTTTTTGTATAAGCTTCATTAGATTGTACCTTTCAAAGAATTTGTCTATTTTGGGTATGTTTCTGAGTTAATAGGTATAAAGTAGTTCATAATAGTCCCTATTGTCCTTTAATATCTGTACAATGTGAGTTGATAATAATACATCAATATTCATTCATTAATGACAACAAACCTACCATACTGATATACGGTGCTAATGATAAGGGAAACTGGGTGTGAGCCTCAGATGTACTTTTCGTGTGGTCTGCTCAATTTTTATGTAAATCTAGAAACGATCTCAGCAATAGTCTATTTAAAATAAAATCCCGTCTTTCCTGCAGGGACTGGCTGTCTGAGATACATTCAGGGGAAAGACCTTGGCAAGCCAGTGGTCAGTGAGCTCACGCTGCCTCCGGGGGCCCGGGGGCCCTGGCCCTTCTCTGTGCCCTTCAGGGTGCTGGCTCTGCTCAGCCGTGAACTGTGCCCACAGGGGTCCCTGTTTACCTGTGGGAGGGAGTCCCTGCTCCCAGCACCTCAGCCTCCCCAAGGGGACAGACTGTGCTTAAAGATCAGCAGCAAATGAAGGAGTCACCAACCTTGGGAAGACGGTTCACACTGCATCCCATTTTCCACCAGAGTAAGAATTTCCCGCATCTTCTCCTGAAAGTGTGAGTCTTACATATTTAGACAGGAGACGATCCGGGGCATGCCATTACATTCCAATCTTGCCTTTTGGACAATCATCGCTGATTTTCTTCTAGATGTTTCTGAAAAGACAAATTTGTTTTTGTCTTGACCTATTTTATTGTGGAAAAAAAAAGTGATACCAGAATCGCTTTGCTATGCCTTTTACTTCCGTTTGAAATGGCAGAACCCCCAGGACCTCCGCACATCTGCTCATCTGCGGCCTATCTGAGCCCAAGATCAGCAGGAGGGAGAACCAGAAGTGTGGTCTGGGCTCGAAGTAGGTCAGGTTCTTTAAGAGAAGCCTGGCCCAGCAGGGAGCCTGCACCTGAGCCAGGCCCAGTCCTGCTCCAGGAGGCCTGGGTGGGTCCCGGGAGGCGTGTGCGAGGCAGTAGGCGGTGTTGTACAGGCCTGGGAGTTGGGTGGAGGGGTTAATCAGGGACATGGGGCTGCACTGAGCTGAGTCTGTGCCTTTCTTTCTTCCCTGAACCACAGCTCCTGGCCCCGCCTGACCCTCACTGGGGACAAGCTTCCCACTAGCCCAGGAACAGAGGATGGGGTTAGAACCAGGAGCCAGGAGGCTCCATACTCCTGCCTCATGGGAGCTTACCTCCTCGAGGAAACGGCCTAGAGTGGGCCAGGCAAGAAGGGGCAGCTGTGGTTTCCACTGATGGGCTGTGGCCAAGGATGACCTTCCCAAAAGAGCTGGAGGAAGGGAGAGGGAGAGAGAGAGAGAGCGCACGCGAGAGAAACCTCAATCAGCTGCCTCTTGCATGCCCCCTACAGGAGATCCCACAAGCCAGGCATGTGCCCTGACCTGGAATTGAACTGGTACCTCTCTGTGTAAGGGATGATGCTCAACCAACTGAGCCACACTGGCCAGGGCTAAAAGATTGATCATTTTAAAGTATCTATTTATTTTAAAAAACATAGCACAAATACTGTGGAAAGATGGCCCAAAGAGTTGAATAAAATCATTACAACACATACAACTGACAAAGGACCATGAACCAATATGAAGCATTCCCGTAAGCACTGGACAACAGAAACCCCACGGACGAGGAGAGCTCAACAGAAGCGGGCACTTCATAGAAGAGGCTACAAGCATATAAGGAGATTCTGCGCTTCATTCATAATCAGGGCGATGCAAATTGGGGCCGCAATTAAATACCATTTTGTACTCACCAGATGGGAGAAAAATAAGAAATCTATTAGCATTAAGTGTTGGAGAGGCTGTGAATCAACAGGACCACTTTGACACACTTTGAAGGACCATCTATTTTTCAGTTTGCAACTGGCATCTCCTTTGGCATCTTGGTGAGCTGCAGCCGCCAGC